GGAAGGGAGCGCGGTGATGTACACGGCCCCGCTCCCTGGCCATGTACATCAGCACACTGCCTCTCATTCCCATCCCACCAGGGCTTACCTGAGCGGTGCAGCACTAGCGCCGCTCAGCTGGACCACGGCAGTGGAACAAGCGGCGGCAAGCGGCCGTTTGGGGTCTGCGCTCCGCATGCATGGGGAGCGTGGACCCCAAACAGCCGCTTGCCGCCACTTGCTCCCCCACCGCATCCCAGCTGAGCGGCGCAGCACTTCAGCACCAGGGCAGGAGGGGAAGGGGGGCGGGGCGCTGACGTACACGGCCAGCGGGCGTGGCCGTGTACCTCAGCGTTACAGACTCATAGACATTGGGCTACTATATTTTTTGAAATAACAGGCTTGGTAGTGTGGACGCTCCGCTTATAAATTCGACCCGAAGGGGTGTTATTTCGAAAAAGTCCCAGTATAGACCAGGGCTAACATAGAACAAGTTATTGGGAGCCAAGAATCAGCGCTTTGTTCCCTGCTTTGCCACTAACTCATGATGGGAGTTGGAGCAAGTCATATAACTTCTGAGTCTCAGTGGCGAAGTTCTGGTGATGACTCATTAACTCTGTGGAGCATGAGGCTCCACCCGTTGCTGTGTTAAGTACTTTGGCTACGTCTAGACTAGAAGCCTCTTTCAAAAGAGAGTGTCTAGACTGCAACCACTTCTTTCGAAATTGCGAGCCGCTTTTTCGAAAGACAGTACCCAGGCAGTCTGGATGCTCTCTTTTGAAAAAGCCCTATTTGTATTCAAGAATGCCTGTTATCGAAAGAGCACTTTTGAAAAAAGGCGTTCTTCCTCATAAAATGAGGTTTACTGTGGTTGAAAAAACTGCTGCGTTCTTTCGATTTAATTTCGAAAGAATGCGGCGGCAGTCTAAACGCAGGGGAAGTTTTATACCCTGTAGTCTAGACACACCCTCTGAGTCCTTATGTGAGAGGCACTAGAGAAACGCATAGTCCCAGGATTGTTTATATTATGGCATAAAGCCCCTATTTCACAATGTCGTTTTTGGGAGTTGTCTGATAATTCACAAATCCTCAGTCCGAAATGCTACAGCTTTGAGTTCCCCCTCCACTTCTTTCCCAGCCAGAGATGCACCAATGGCATGTACAAAAGGGGCTGCATTAAATAAAACCACACACCAGAGCTCTTCGTAGTTCAGTGGACCAGTCTGACAGACAAATGATGACTCATAAAAGCCCCACACATGCGCATCCACTTCACCAGTAGTGCTCAGGAGCTATTGATGCAGAATTTGGGCTTGAAATAAATAAACTTTGTATTTGTTTATTCCTGGGTCTGTTTCAAACTCTTAAAATAGCAACTGCAGCAGTGAGCGCCACATCTAAATTCATTATAACCTGCAAAATAGTTGTGCCTAAGTTGTCACACGGAGTGATTTTTTTTCCCCACGGAGGTAATGGTTTTGAGTTGTAGCTGGCTTCCAAGCAGTTACAGTATTGTAATACCGTATGAATAGGTCTGCAGCTGTATATTGTGACGGGAGTGAGACATGATAGCTCTAACCCTGTATGGAGCGGTAAAGAGACAGTTTGTACAGGAATATATGGGCCAAACTCTGCACTAAGAGCTGTCTCTCGGACCATAACTGACCACTTTAAACGATTCCGTGTGTTTTCCAATAGAATGTTTGTCAACCTTTAGTTATCTGGTAGGTGGCTGGTTCCTTACGTACTTGCTTTAGGCATTTTACATTTACTTGTGTACTCACTCAGCTGGGACCTCCTGCTCACAGGTAAACCCCACTAATTGCATTGATAGCCCTGGCCCAGGTGAGCTGCCAACTCATCATAAATTGGTAAAAAATTAAAAGATGTGCTGTTAAAATACCAAGGATAGTGCATGAAAGAGCAGGTTCGGTAGCACACTTCCATCTTTCACAAACACTTCTTAGTGGTCCTCTGTCCCTTTTGTACAGGTTTGGGGGTGCAGGTGTGGGTGGGTTCTGTTTTATCTGGGCATTGTCCATCTCAAAGATTCCTATTTTCCCCTGTCTCTGGAACTCTGTGGTCTGTTCTAGTCATTGTTGGGCATTGCTGTTGGTACCCAATAGAACCCTGCAAGACATATGCCTGAATAATTAGTAAATAAGAAGTACTGTGTACAATGGTGTAGACTAGAAGAGGCATTCTCTTTATTTTGCTGGCTTGTTGTTTCTTCCCTTTTCTTCCTCCCTGGGGGTGTGGGTGTGCAGGATACTGTGACTCTTCCTATTTGCTCTTTGGCCCTTTTCGTGGTGTCATTGTGAATTAGCCAACAGCTGCCCAAAGTCTTTCTCTTTCTTTCCCTCTCTCATGGTAAGTAGCAGCAGGCAGAGCTCAAATACCTCCTCGGCTTTGCTTTGAAAAAGGAGGCTGTCTTTGCCCTGTGAGTTTGCATTGTGTGATTTCAGTATGAAAGCATCGTGGAACAGGGATTCCAGCAATGAAATCAGAGAAACGGAACTCTAAGGGCCCTTTTACAGAATTTGCGTAGTCGTGTTTGGCCAATACAGGGATGTTTGGCAGCACCAGTGTGGGGCCTTCATCCTGCACTGGACCAATTGAAGCAATGAGGAGTGGGATAAGTATTTTGCCAAGGAATTTCGACATATGTTTTAAGCAACAAAATGCTTTAAGTTGCCCTCTGCCTCCACAGACACTTGGCCCGTGCTAGTTCTCCTTTTCCTGAATCTTCGATGAGTTAAGCCAGTACTGGTACCTTGTCTGCTATGCGTTTTCCACCTCGTTTGCTCAGGCCATTCTCCTCACACCTTAGACCATGTTACAATCATAGGGTCCTTGCTGGAGGGTTCAGTTAACACCCACTGTCTGCAGTGTCCAGCCAAATAAAGAAATCAAGGAGTGCTTTCTGTGGTGACCCCAAAACAATAATTCCCTTTCAAAACCTTACAGTGTGCTAATGCCAAAGGATCAACAGCTCTCCTGTTTGTGTCACCGCAGTATAAATATACTAATAATGAAGTTAGGGCAAAATAACCATAAGATTTCTCCCCAAGACCATTTATGCTCTGTCACATGAACTAGCCAAGCCTCTATAAGGTTGTTTATATATTTACGCTTCCCCTTGGTCTACATTGAATTTTGTAATATACATTATTACATAATATCCTATGAGTTTGTAATGTACATATTTAAAAATCCTCCAGTTCGTCCTGCCTTTTCCCTCCAAACCTGGCTCCTTCCCAGGAACAATATCTTATCAGCTGGGCCTTCTGGCTTTATGGCATATTATTCACTAAATAAAACCCACAAAACCCCAGTGGAACTATATCGGTGTTAAAACAGAAAAAGGGTAAATTCAGAAAGAGGGTGGATTTTATTTTCCACCTCCAGAGAGGGTTCCATTGACAATGCAGTGTTGAAAAAATGAATATATAGAATTATTTTTTAAATTAGAACTAAGTGTCCCTTTAAGTGTTCGAATAGGAATGTCAAATTTATCTGCTACTGCATTTCAGTCCTCCCACCTCCACCCATAGATAGGCAGTCACATGTATGTGAAACAGACACATCCCGCGTTGCCTATGCAAATGGTATATCCTTAGGGCTAGGCCGCTATACCCTATCCCCTGGATGTTACGATAACCCGAGTTGGAATCGGTGGCCTTGTGTCGTTCTTTTAGTTGGAAATGAGTCATTGCAGCACATAGTGGAAATGCAAACTCCACCTATTTCTACAAAGACCTCTGATTGGGGCCTTGAAGGTAGCTTGTGCAGAGGACTCTTGACTATGTGAGTACAGCACGTTGCAGCCTAAAGTCTTACTATCATCTTGTGTCTTTTGGTTCACCTTTTTATATTTCCTTCTGGCTCAGATTTGATTTTCCAGTTGTTTGCCTTTTAACTAGAAGACGATGTCTCTGTGGCTTCCGCACTTTCTGAAGCTTGCCCGGGCTCCTTCCAAGATGCACGCTGCAGCCTGCATTCGATAGGACACAGCCTGTTTGAGTCTCCTCCCGATGTCTTTTATAGTTTCTCTCCTCTTCTTTTTTTTCTCACCTTTTTTTTTGTTGTTTTTTTGTTTTTGTTTTTTGCATGTGCAGTTTTGTAAAGCAAACTCGAGGTACTGTATCTCGCAGCTCGTCAGTCTCCAGCGTAAATTCACCGTGAGTTGCTCTCTGTTACAATATTCAGTAAATGGATTTATGATATATATCTATATATTTATAAACCCCCCTGCCTCCCACCCTCCTGATGCCTTCCCCCTTCCTTTGGTTTTTTTTCCCCAAAAAAGTCATTCACATCATTGTGGAAAACCTCCAGGCCAACATATGGTAAAAGGGCTGGGAAGGTGTACGGCAGTGCCATATAATGATTGTGATTTGAGCGTGAGCAACTCTGTAGTGTTGTGTACATTGGGTGTGAGCTCCTCTGCTTCTTTTCTTTGTTTTTTTCTTTTTCCCCTTTATTCTTTCCATGCTTCTCTTTGTCCTTTCCTTACCTAGTAGTTAACTAGTTCTTTCCCTCTTGCTCTTCCCTTGTTCTGTGGCCTGCCGTGTTCTCACTTATATTTTTCCTCTGTGTTCTGTATACATTGGGCTAATGGTTTTGATATTCCACCAGTGTTTGCGCTTTTGGTTCCAAAGGAGAATGGGGCCCCGGCATGAGCATGGTCTGTAAAATGAAAGCTAGAAAGAGAGAGTTTCAAAGGAATCCAGCTTCTGGAAACTGTGCATAAGTAACCCTTGGAAATTTGCTATAACAAGAGCAGACTTGCTCCTTCAGCCCTTCCTGGGGCTTTGATTTGTGCTCCCATGTAGTCGAGAGGTTTGCAAACACGGTGGTAGATCCTTCAACCATTCCACCCACTCCCCATTACCAATCCCACCATCTCCAGGGCTCACCGTGAACCATGAGTATGCCTCCAAGGTGCACGTTGCAGGTTTGTAGAAAATCCCTTCCATCCCTTCCACGTCACGCAGCCAAAGTTTGTCATCACCTCATTGAGTGTCTTTGGTGTATCTCATATGTGTGCCGCTTTGTGTTACTTTTCTGCTGTGTAAGCTCTTGGGGAGACAAGCAAGCGCAGTTCAGACGCAAAGAGCCAGATATTCTGGTGCATCACAGTAGGACTTAGTGCACCCAAGCAGTTGGGCTTTCCCCCTCCTTTCTGCCCCCTCCTCTCACTCCGTCATTCCAAGGGGCATCTCAGGTCCAGTTTGGCCCCAAGACAACGTGGAGATGCTTGGATTGGTTTCTCCAATCTCTCTTCACTTTGTGTCATGCTGGAAAATTCCCCCTCTGTAGGGGGACTCTCCTGTTGGTGCAAAGTTGGTGAAAAGGACTCTGCTGCCTCCTGCTTCAGCTGTGGTGTGCGTGGTTTCTAGGGTCCTGGAACCCTCTCGCAGTATGAGGGAAGGCAGGTGGAAGGGAGAAGGTTTGTGAGGAGAGGGGATGTGACTAATAAAGTCTGTGCCTGGTTCTCTGCTGCTGATACTCCAGCAACGTAAGTTAAAACCGCGCAAGAGCAGTGTAAGGCAGCTTTTTCAAATGGGAGCCAGGCCTGTTAGCTTTGAATGTGACCCTTACTGCCCGTCTTGTGGAGACAGGGCGGGCTGCTCTTTTAAAAGCAGAAGGACAAGTACACAAATCATGGGAGTGGCCTTTACCCTAAAGCCACTTTTGTCATGCAGCCTTAAAGCAGGTGCAAATATATTTTATATCAATGGTAAGGCCTCTTCAGTCTACGAGAGCACCAGCTGTGAATCAGGCCCTTTGTGTGTTCGGCAGACCTAGGATTTTGAAAGTTTTGCTAAGCCTGAATTTCTTTTTCTGTGCATATCTACAGCGCTTTCCTCCAACAAAATACTTGCTTGGCTAAACAATTCACTGGATCCCATAGGTAGCTATCACTAACTATATGTTACATGCAGGATTTCCAGGATCCGGTTTATACCAATAAAATCCTCTCTGTAATTAAACTTAAAGGACCTGATTCTTAGTTACACTAAGGCCTACACTCAGTTTTTGCACCACTATACCGTATTTTCCAGCGTATAAGATGACTTTTTATACTAAAAAACATCCCCCAAAAATCGGGGGTCGTCTTTTACGCCGGGTATAAACATACTGTAGCTTCGGCTACATACAGAACGTCCCTGTGCTGATACTGTATGTACCGCGCTGAGCCAATCACGACAAGCGGTGTCACCTATTAATGCATACAAAGCCTGCTCAGATTGGCAAAGGTTGTAATAGCCCGCCTCTCTGACTCAGCCAATCCGAGCAGGCTTTGTATGCATTAATAGGTGACACCGCTTGTCGTGATTGGCTCAGCGCGGTACATACAGTATCAGCACAGGGACGTTCTGTATGTAGCCGAAGCTACAGTATGTTTATACCCGGCGTAAAAGACGACCCCCGATTTTTGGGGGATGTTTTTTAGTATAAAAAGTCATCTTATACGCTGGAAAATACGGTATAGTGGTGCAAAAACTGAGTGTAGGCCTTAGTGTAACTAAGAATCAGGTCCTTTTTTGGATAGAAGTGTTGCTTTTTCTACTGAAACAGTATCCTCCCACCCCCTGTAGTGGGGAATGCAGTTATACCAGTATAAAAGTGCGTCATAGCTTATTCTCCTTCCCTCTGGAAATAATTATGCTGTTATAATTACCTTTATAGCAATATAATTGCTTGTTCCATGTGGGGATTCAACCATTTTATCTATACTGGTCCATAGGGGAATAATTTTTAGACAAGGTCTAAAGCCGTGCTCTAGTCGTATGAAGTACAAATAAAACTTACGACCTTTGTAATACTGCTTTGCATTGTGAGACCTGTAGAAAGTGGCCATAATGTAATTAAGCATTAAGCCTTGAGAATCTATGGTTACTGAGTGTAAACCAAAAAATTTCCACTGGAATTTAGATATTTTTTCAGTAGTCAGTGTCTAATTTTGTCTTTAGGAATTTGTTCAGTTGAAATTGTAAGTGGCAAGAAAATCAGGACAAAAATATGGGCAGTAGCTTCTTAACAACAAAACATTTAGGCGAGTCACCTTTGAGGTAATTTTCAGACTTTCCTGTTGTAATGACTGTATGGTACAAACACAGCAACCAGAAAAAATCATATTTGGTTCACTTGGGAAAGAAAAATAATGAAACACATGTACAAACAATTATTTTTACTTTTAAACATTTAGTCAAGATTTGCAGAATATACATGCTGAAAACTTGCAACTAGTTCCACGAGGCGTACAGATAGTGCGGAATGGCTTGCTAGTTCGAACTATCTAGCCCGTGCCGCGTGTAGCCGCGCGGCACGGGGTTCGAACAAGCCGGCATTTAAAAATGGCGCCGGCCGGCTTATGCAAATGAAGCCCGGGAAATTCAAATCCCGGGCTTCATTTGCAAGTGCGGTATGCCTACATTACCACCCTAGTTCAAACTAGGGTGGTAGTGTAGACATACCCTGAGGGAGGGTATGATAGATGTACATAAAAATCATGAGTGGTGTGTAGAGGGTGAATAAAGAAAAGTTATTTACTTGTTCCCATAATATAAGAACTAGAGGACACCAAATGAAATTGATGGGTAGCAGGTTTAAAACTAATACAAGAACGTTCTTCTTCACACAGCGCACAGTCAACCTGTGGAACTTCTTGCCAGAGGAGGCTGTGAAGGCTAGGACTATAACAGAGTTTTAAAAAGAGCTAGATAAATTCATGGAGGTTAAGTCCATAAAAGGCTATTATCCGGGGGTAAGGAATGGTGCCCCTGGCCTCTGTTTGTCAAAGGCTGGAGAAGGATGGCAGGAAACAAACTGCTTGATCATTGTCTTCAGTACACCCCCTCTGGGGCACCTAGCACTGGCCACTGTCGGCAGACAGGCTACTGAGCTAGATGGACCTTTGGTCTGACCCAGTACGGCCATTCTTCTTATGTTCTTATGTGGGAAAATATCTCCTGGTCCTCATTTGCCATTCAAAAAACCAAATCACTGTTTACCCTTATCACTTGTGTCTGCCTGAATTCGCCATCTGTATCTTCTGGTTTATCTCCCTTCTCACAGCAAAAATGGCTGTAGCATCTTTGCATGAAATTGTTTTGTTGTTATCAGAACCTATCAGTTCCTGCAGGGACTGAAGCCAGAACCCAGCTGGGGCTGCGCAGTTGTGCGTAATAATCGCAGAAACATCTTATTGAAAGTCTAACATGAGTGATGTAGAGAAAACAGCTCACAGGAAAGGAAATGTTTTATGACTGGATTTAGGCAGACTTCTGTGCACTGAAGGGTTCATTATGTTTAAGCTAGAAGTGTTGTTTGTTGAATCAGGACTGAAAAGTGCACTTTTAACCTTGCTTTTTTGCTCCTGGAATTTATTACTAAAAAAGCAGTTACTTTATCACAGTATGTAACAGTGGTACCAAACTCTAAACCACATGGTACGAGTGTGATGACTTGGTATCAAATAAATATTTTCTGGAGTTTCCGTGCGTTTAGAAGTTGCTAAAAGTACTAGGCTTCAATGAATACAAATTAACTAATACATGATTGTATAATTTTACGAGTAATTAAAAGACTCGGTGTATTAAAGCAATAGTCTGTGGCATGCATGCTGGTGCATTTTATTGAATCCAGATCTTGCCATTGTTACTCAGGTGAAATTGCCCCTGATTTCAACAGAAGTGCTGCTCGAGAAAGAGCTTCAGGCTTTGGCACTGAGAACGGCATTGACTTGTCAGCTGTTTGACAATGTAAATCAGGAGATGACACCATTCCTTTTGGTGTTAGAGGCTCCAGCAAATTGCACTTGAGTGTGCTTTATGGCTTCTTATGAAATTAAATTTCCGGAGAGACTGGATGGCTCAGGGAATTGATAACAAAATACTAGAGCTTTCCTTTCTAGTGTACTGATCCATAACCACCCCCACCCCCGCCATCATGGCCCTCAACATGTAAGGGTTGCTCCATAGCCTGCAGGAAGTGAGTTGATGCTTGTTTCTTCTTCCCGGTGGCGAGGTGTTAGTAAGAGGTGGACTGGATGGTGGCTGTAATCCTGTCCCCCATTGGGGTCACTGGATGCAATACTTGGAAGTGTGCTAAGTGTTCAGAGACCATAGGGCAAGTGTTTTAGCCATTTCAGCTGATGAGACCTAAAGGTTCC